TCTCTTGCCAAGGATAGCGCCGACCCATGGGACAGGTTCAGCCAGGGAGGCGAGGAGGAGGAGGAGGAGGAGCAGGAGGAGAAGGAGGACGAGGACGAGGACGAGGATGGGGATGGGGAGTTTGAGGAGCAGGAGGGGGAGGAGGAGGAGGAGGAGGAGGAGGAGGAGGAGGAGGAGGAGGAGGAGGAGGAGGAGGAGGAGGAGACGGGGGCCCAGGCATCCGGCGCATCGAACAAATGGAGGCGGCCTGATTGTCGCCAATTTTGGCCCGTGGAGGCGGCATCGGGCTCCGGGACTGTCCAAAAACGGTTTGGGATGAGACACCACACCTAGGAAATGGTCGAGAAGTCCAGGGGTCCATGTATCAAACATCGAAACGCCAGATCGGTGTGAACGGTTCTGGCATGCATAGTGAGCGACAGCGTGACAAAGAGCGGCGCTCACGACAGGCCTCTTTCTTTGTTTGATGCGATCGGACCGAGAGCAAATTTCTCGCTCCAACCCGCGCCTGCGAGGTTATGAGTCCCTGTCCTCTGACGTCGCAGTTATTTCGTCACGTGGGTCCCTAGGGATCTTGACCCTTTCACCAGGACCAGTTTTTTATCTTGCGCCGTTTCCGCACGGTCCAGGGGCGAGGTCACGCCCCCCCCTCCTCCCCGAGGCCGAAAACGTCGAACAACTGGCCGTCACGATGTTTTTTTCCAAGCATCCATTGGTGTTGGGTCTTCGTTTCGAAGAGAGCAGCGCCCTGCATCCCAGTGGTGGCCCTGCGTTTCCCGAACATCCAGTTGTGTTGGGTCCAGTGGTGTTGCGTCCTTCTCCTCCTCCTCCTCCTCCTCTTCCTCCTCCTCCTCCTCCTCCTCCTCCTCCTCCTCCTCTCCTCTTCCCCCTCTTCCTCCCCGGTACACCACTCACACGTTTCGTAGGCCTACAGGGAGCTCCACCGATTGCAGTGCATACATCGACGGCGCTCACAGCTGCATATGGTTGGGCCCTTCGCCAGGCTAGCTTTTTGTTGGAGGGCAAAGCCGAGATCCGACTCGCAGAGGACACCTGTGCACCACCATCACGCCTGGCCAGGGCAATGGTGGGCCCTCGCATGGTGTGTACACCCTCCTGGCCTCGGCCAGGCGGGCGTATACACCAAGTCGGCGCCCAGACCAGAGATGCGATGCCTTGTTTTTTGTCACTACGGGGTCCCCACAAGTCCACGCCCGACCCTCTCTTGACGTCCCTGCGATGGCTCCCAGGGGCCGAAGACGGAGAACCGCCTCCGCATTGAGTCTTCAACGCGTTGGATGCATGAGAAGATGGCCCTGGCTGGCCGTGGTGGCGGTGCTGAGGTGCCCTCTCCGTATCCGAAAGCTTTGATTGCTCGCAGGTGCCCTCCTTGGCGGTGGGCGGGGCTGGGCGGCCCCGCCGCATCTGGCCGGCGAGGACGCGGCCAGCTCTGGCGGGGTGTTCGGCGTGGCGGTGCGCGCGAGGGACAGGCAGGCGCTGCAGGAGACCCCCTTGCCTCTCCAGCGGCGTCCAAGAGGGGGGGGCGAGGGGGCCAGGGTGGGGGCGTTGGTCAGGGAGTGTGTCCGGGAGGCTTCAGACCCTGGAGGATGCCTTATCTGACGAGGGCGGTGGTGGAGCTCCTCGACCTGAGTTCCACCGGCTCCCGGACCCGCGATTCCTCATCCAATGGTTCCTTGTCCAAGCCCTCACCGTGCTCGGGGGCCCCGAAACGGTGCGGTGACCACACCGTGTCACCGTGTGGTGGGTCAGTGAGGATTCTGGGCGACCCCACGGTTTTGCGACTTGCTCGGATCGCTCTCCAAAGACGTCTCGGGCGACTGGGGCCTCCAAGTTTTCAGAACCGTGAGGTGACGGGCCGTGCGGGGAGGTCTTTGGGGATTTCGAGGTAACCGCACAGTCTGTCACCGCACCGTGTTCGGATCCACAATCTTCGGGGGCATCTAAGAGGGGGGTGAGGACCAGGGAGGGTGGGCATCATGGCAGGAGTCATGATATCCCCGAGATTTCATGATCCCCTCTCGTGTTTCAATGCGTTCCCTGCCCACCCCTCGTCCGCGCACATGCCTCGGGCCATGATGAGTGCTCCCCTCCCCCTCTTTGTGGCCCACTTCTTCGGCGCACCCGATCTCTGCTTGGGAGCGGGCGGAGGGGGCAGAGGGATGGGAGAGGAGGGAGGGAGGGTGAGCAAGCAGGTGCACGTCGGAATGTCGCCGCCGCCGCTTCGCTGTCTGCCATGCTGCTGACTTGCTTCCCCCTCCCTCGTGCATGGCACGGTTGTGTGCAACGCTGGCACATCTTCTTCCAGGGACGTGCGCAGCAGCAGCGGGGAGGG